CTTCTTCTTCTTCTTCTTCTTCTTCTTCTTCTTCTTCTTCTTCTTCTCCTTCTCCTTCTCCTTCTCCTTCTCCTTCTCCTTCTCCTTCTCCTTCTCCTTCTCCTTCTTCTTCCTCTTCTTCTTGTTATTGTTAATTTTTACTGTGTATATGTCTCTTTGTGAGTTTATAATGTAATGCATGGTTGCAGATGGCCACAAAGGCAAGAAGAGGCCATCAGATCCACTGAAGCTGGAGCTGCAGGTTGTTGTGAGCCACATGGATGCTGGAAACTGAACTCCAATCCCCTGGAAGAGCAGCAAATGCTTTTCACCATTGAGCTGTTTCTCCAACCCCGACTTTTTTTGAGATAAGGTTTTTACACTGTAGTCCTAGCAAACCTATAATTCACTATGTAGCTCAGATACACTTCATACTCAAGAAAATCCACCTGCCTCTGTCTCCCAAGTGCTGTAATTACAGGTGTGAGCCACACAGTATTGCTTTTTGAAATAGCTACTAACTCTGTGGCTTGAAGACTCATGCATCCCCCTCACAGTCTTGATGTAAGAAAGCTATTAGAGTTGTCTACAAACGGACATGTCTGAGGTGTGAGGTCTGGGCAGGGGGAGAGTCCTTGTCTTACATCTATCTCCTAGCCTGCTGTACTTGTTTCCTTCCTGTTAGGTTGGCTGTCAGTCTAAAACTCTGCTACAGCATCTTCATCTGCTGTGCCAGGCCCCGGGCCAGCCTCATATCCCCAGAGTTGGTCCCCATTTGTAAAGCATTCCCTTAATGGGGTAGACAGGAAGTGAGAGGACAAGCAGAAGTTCCAATAGAACTAGTGTTATAGAGTTCATGTGTCCTTCTCTTCCTTAGATTCCAGCCCAACTCCATCTTTAGAAGCCTTTGAAGCAGGAGAAAAGGGTTTAAAACAAGGGTAGCATTCACTTTTAAGTGAAGAGGTAGCGCCACAATCAACGCTGGCCTTCTTGGGATCCCTGCTTTGCCCACTGAAGGTATCTTAGCAGCCTGTTGCTCTAAACTCTCACTGGTTCCTCTTATTCCTGTTTGCTCACTTGTTTGAGTCTAGTGTACTGAGCAAGAGGGCAGCAGGCCTGGCTGTCGCTGGAGCATTGGCTGCAGCCTCATAGGTCCCTCTGCTTCCCCTCCAGGCCTTTTCTGGTCTTCTGTACAAGAGAATCGTTGCTTTCTCCAGCTTGGCTCTTGTTGCCCAGCTGGAATTTCAAACAAGCCTTCTCCAAGTAACTCATCTAGTCGTTTACACACACACACACCGGTAAGATCCCCCAACAAAATTTCAATGCAACTTCTTAACAGACTAGACTTTTAAATTCTTTATATATGTAAATACAAAAATTCAGAATCCTACTTAGAGATCGGTGTCTAGATTGTGCCCTTCTAGAGTAAGTTTCTAGGCTCAGAGCAAGTAGGTACCTTTCATGTTCTCATCATCCTTGTGGGCAAGCGATTGGGTAACTACATATGGATATAAAGTCTCAACATACAAAGATGCTCAGAGACCTAATTTAATGTTGAAGTGACCAAGGTTACACCATCTTGTCCTGGTAACATTTTTTGTTTTCTTAGATAACTCTCAGCCCTCTACCTCATAACAGTCACAATGACCTTGGCAACACCTATGAGATTTTCACGACCCTGTCTTTGGTCCAGATGTATTAAGTTTACACAAACTTAACACAAATTAAACTAAGTGAAGAAGGTATAAGTCAGAAATCATTGTTATGATATTAACTACTGAAATAATTACTATGTACTGTCAAAAATGAATGCTTCATGGTTACTCTGACCCTCACCTAGCTCTTATATAAATTATGATTTCTGTGGGGTTTGCCTTTTAAAATACTGTCTCCCTGGCCTTCAGTACCAAGAGACACTGAGACATTAGCTCACTCTTGGTCACCAACCAAAATTAAAGAACTCACACATTCTTAGTTGACTTAGTCTGTTTATATGTCTGTATTGTTCTTTGTGGGTTATTTCAATTGTCAATCAGGAAGCTTCACGTCCTCAACATCATTGGAAGAGGGCTGGTCAGGAAAGGCAGAGTGGTCAACTGTGCCGGGGCTGGGATCTGCATGCTGCTACATTCAACTGATGTCTCTGCTCTAATCATGTACATAAATACCACCTGTCAGGGATGAATGAGAAGGGCTCAGATATTGGACATGTGGTGTGTATTCAAAGACTTTGTAGATTCAAACATTTGGCTGGATCAGAGGCAGCAAACTGAGGAAGTTGTGGGGAGTCTGTGTGACTGCGGTGATAGTGTTCACCCCTACTGTAAGCTGGCAAGACTGTTGGTCTAAGACGTCTTCCTGAGCCACTGATGCACCTAACATGAGCTCATCAGTTCAGATTTCTCCCTTTCATTCCCACCCACCAGACCTGTACAGCCTAGAGGCAGACGCTGCAACCCAGCAAGTTTCTGGGTGGATTAGGGAGCTGCGGCAGGGCAGATGAGCTGGGTATCCAAAGCATTTGTCATTTTGGCGATTATGACGCAAGTGGGAGGGAACTGGCCAGGAACAGAGAGGACTCCATGCAAAATCTGTCTCCACGGGCTTAGCACAGGCTGGGATGACTGAACAGGGTTACAGAGAAAAGAGAAAGAACACTGGGTGTGAGAAGAGAGAGCTGGGCTCTTGGGGCTGGAAGAACAATCTTCATCCCTTTCTCATCTATCCCCCTGGCCTCTCAGCCAAGCTGCAGCCACATAAGGTACAGAACCGCTCATGCACAGGCACACATTTGCGCTTGCCCTCCAGTCCCCTTGCCTCAGAACTCATATGATTCACTGATTACAGGACTGACTTGCTGATCTGACGACTCCATATCTCCCACTACTTCTGCACCACAAGAGCCATGGCCTCGTTATCTTTTGGTGGCTTTTCTTTGCTGAACCATCACTGATTGAGCTCATTTCACGTGCCATCCATCGAGAATCCCAAGGAAGGAACACAGTGAAGAGGAATGTAGAGAAGCCAGCCCAGCTGAATGGAGGAGACAGAATGGGGGTAGGGATGTTATAAAGTGGTCCACTGGCTTGGAGGACTTACAGGGAGGCAGACAGCTGGAGGACAGGAAAAGAGCAGAAGAGACAATAATTCAAACATAGAGGAATGGATACCCCTGACGCCTTCAGCTGATCTGTGCTTGTGACCTCAAGAGAAAGCAGGGGGATGTGACTAGGTTGGGTTTGGCAAGCCAAACAGCCTTGCTAGAAGTTTAGGCAATGGCAGTCATTTTGCAAGACAAAAATGAGAGCTCATGATAGCAAAGTACGAGCTCTATTGGGGACAGTGATCAGTCAGGACAGTAGACACAGGCCTTCCACACTATCCAGGACGGGTCACTGCTAGAGCAATAGGGACCATTAGAGGTTTAAAACTGAGATATGGCATAGCCCAGGCTCTGGTTTATAACAGTCTATGCAGAGAAGACTAGAGGATGGAGGGCTGATGGCTGTGGGTGAAGAGGCTGATGCTAAAGTCCAAGCAGAGAAGAGAAATAGGCTGTGAAGTGGCACTTGCTGAGAGCTGCCTGAGATGCAGGCACTGCGGGGATGAAGATACACTGGGTAACACAACTCTGCTCCCCACGACAAACAAGAACATCAGAGATCTTCAGAAGCATCCCTCTGCCTTTTCCCCAAGGCCAGTTCAGTCAGGCCAGACTCCCATGTATCATCTTGGTTCCCTGTTCCTGGCTTTGAGGCAGGGATGGGACAAAGTCAGCAGGTAATGCCATCTTTCTTCCCTTGACTTCTCTCTACCAGACAAAGTGATCTAAATTTTCAGACTGCTGCTTTAAAGAGCTTGGACCTGCTGACAGTAGCTGCCTTCAAAAGGGAGGCTTGCCCGAACTGAGGATTGCCCAGAATCATTGAGGAAGAATGCTCAGAATACAAAACGGCTTTAGGGACTGATAAAATGTATGTAAAGTTATGTTTGTATAATAATAAAATTGAGAAATAAACATGAGGTTATGAGAAAAAGGGTTTGAGTTCAAAAGTGTTTTCTCCATGTAATTCACACACACACACACACACATACATACATATATATAATGTATATATAATGTGTTTATACATGTACATATGTATATGTAGCTATGTGTATATAAATATATGCACACATACAAGTGTGCACAGGTACAAACACATACATGTGCACATAGTATATATGCATATGTGCACTGCTAGAGATGTGATTCACATACGTACATCTGTCAACATACTTTTCATGCATGCACACTTATTTCATGAGCAGTGTGAATCACTATAAAGGCAGCATTTACAGAGAGCTTTGCCCTTAATTGGACTCACTAATGTTTGCTGAATTAGAACAAACCTCTGCCTTGCCCATTCTGATTTTTATCGTTGACCATTGCTCTCAGGAGTTAATGTTTGAACCTGGCCATAAAGAAATCGACAATCACTGACCTATGGCCTATATTTGAGGAGGAAGCCCCTTATAAAATAGCCAACAGTGGGTGACCTGGCAGGCAGAGCTGCTGTGGTCAGCTGTGGAAAGGAAGCCTCACTGCCACCATGAACTTCTCCGGCAAGTACCAACTGCAGAGCCAAGAGAACTTTGAGCCCTTCATGAAGGCAGTAGGTGAGTGCTGAATGAGACGCCAAAGCTGATGTAGCAGCAATGAGGGGCTAGCCCTACTATCAGCAGATAGTTAAGGTCTAATGATGAGGTGGAAGGAAGGGTCCAGGCTCTACCAAATTGAGTAGTTCTCCAATGACTCTCCTGGTCATCCCAGGACTCGGAGCTTTTTTTGCAGACTACACAGATCATGAATTTGAGGATCCCTTAGTTGTGCAAGGGACCCTCCTCTGTTGCTGTGAACTCCATGGTTCATGTAAACCTCTGTTCATGGAAAAGCACAGATTTGTTCTAAAATCTGCAAAGCCTTATTCTAGGGAAAAGGACTTTATATATTACCTTCCAAGAGCCTTGACTCCAGAGGCCACAGTAAGTTTGCCTGGCATGGTCCTACCTTGTACATGGCCCAATTATTCATATCTCCCCGATCACTTCAGGAGTAATTGGATTTAGATGATAAACATTCTGGAGGATGAAGTGTTTCCACTCTAAGAGCAAGGCCACCAAAAAAGAAGGGACCTGGAAGGGCGAATGAGTAAGAAGAGGGAGCCACAGAGGAAAGGGTCCTTACTACAAATGAATCAGGGAGCTGAGAATGTAGCTCAGTTGGTAGAGTGTTTGCCCAGCATGCATGAAACCCTGGGTTCAATCTCTTGCACCATCTAAGGTATGATGGCACATGACTGCTATTCTAGCACTAAGGAAGTGAAAGCAGGAGGATCAGACACTCAGGGTCATCCTCAACCATACAGTGAGTTATGGCTAGCCTAGGCTGCAAGAGACCCTGTCTCAAAAAATAATAGTACTAATTGACAAAATACTAGCAGACTATTGACTTTCCATATCAGAAGCCAAAGGCCTAACTGCTCACAGATCTGCTATATAGAAATGTTTTTACATGGTCTCTACCAGGTCTGCCTGAAGACCTCATCCAGAAAGGGAAAGACATCAAAGGGGTGTCAGAAATCGTGCACGAAGGGAAGAAAATCAAACTCACTCTCACTTACGGGCCCAAAGTGGTTCACAATGAGTTCACCTTGGGAGAGGAGTGCGAACTGGAGACCATGACTGGGGAAAAGGTCAAGGTATGTAGTCCCACCTCTGGCCACCGTCTGTTTCCCAAAACTTCTCCTAACAGAGACCATGTCACTGAACCTACTTCAGGCAGGAGACAAAGAGAGCTCTGAGAGTAGATTTCTCACTGTCTCAGGGATCATGGATATCTGGGCTCTTACTATGGAGGGTGTGGGAAAAACGGGGCACAGAGCAGAATCCTCAGTCTCAGGGTCTCCCAGGCACAGTGCTTCTGGCTCTCAGTCCTTTAAGGAGAGCCTGGAACTGGAGCAAATTGGTGTCCGTGAGAGCCTTTATCTGAGCCAGGGCAGCTTCCTGGGCAATGATTCCAGGCAGCAAAGTCAGGTGTCTATGGGCTGTGTGAGCCATGGACAGGTGATAGCAGAGAAATACAGAGACTATGGGACCTGTCGTCTGCCCCTCCCTATGAGACCTGCACAGCCCAGGGTAGCCAGTGGACTATGCATCTGTTCTTTCTGCTACTGCCTTCCCAGGCATCAGGCTCGGCAGGAGTCTCTTTGTCTCTTTGGGTTGCTCTTACTTCTGCCTCTTTTATGTGTCAAGGAGAAGAGCAGGTGAGGGTTGGGTGTCATGCATTTTACTACAGTTCTTTTTCAATGCCCATTGGAGAGGCAGATGTTTAACCTCGGCTGGTATTTAACCTCTTGGTTAGGATCCTTCCCTCCATCCTTCCCTTGCTTCTTTTCCTTTTATTCTTCCCCCCCCCCCTTAGCATCTTGCCATGTATTCCATACTGGCCTCAAACTCAGCATCTTCATGCTCCTGCCTCATGAGTGCTGGAAAGCCTGAAGCACTGTGCCAGACCATTTCTATTTACTGTGTTCCTTGATGTATATGACTTGGGATTGGTGCCACAATAAAAAAGACTCAATAGCCAAATTAAACTGAATCCTCCCAGATGCTGATGACTGGAGTTTTGCTACCTCCTCCCTCTATAAGCTTGAGAAATGAGATTATATATTTTATTTTAGGATTTCTCCACCCCCACCCCAGGGGAGAACCACTTGGGTCAGCTTGACATTTTCTTTCGTTCATAAATATGCCCTATTTCCATTTAGCACTAGAGAACTGGATACGGACAGGTCAGTTGGTAACATGCAGAGAACCAACTTCATTAGCTTCATTGCTAGGCCTTTGCTCATGGGCCATGGTCTGTCTTCCCTGCAGGCAATCGTTAAGATGGAAGGTGACAATAAAATGGTGACAACTTTCAAAGGCATAAAGTCCGTGACTGAACTCAATGGAGACACAATCACCAATGTAAGTTGGGACTCTGGTCTTGCCATCCCAGTGCTTGAAGTGAATGGTGAGGTAAAGGATGAGGGACAGCTGGATGTCCATCTCTCATTCTCCACCCTCTCCTCCTGAGACCTTGACTCTACCTTGCCTCTTGTCAATGGCTTCTACTACCTGAGAGGATCCATTATGTACCACCGAGTTGATAGCTATCTTATCAAATCTACCAAACAACCCTTTCCTAAATGAAGGAAATAAGGCAATGACCAGAGAGTGTGTCAAATAGCAGTGACAGGATTTCCTGACCTGGCTCTGTCTCTAGGGCTAATCTCACAGCTGTTCACTACTCAAGCCCTAGGGGAGTCTGTTCACACTATAGACAGTGAGGATTTGTACTCAGCACACCTGCAGCCATCTTGTTCTTGCCAAACCATGGCAGAATATCAGGGTGATTTCCTGACAGATAGAAGAGCAGTACCTTGAGGAAGGGGCACCCTTTCCTAATTCACCTGGTGTCTCACACCTCCTTGTCCTCCACTTTCAGAATCAGCCACTCCCCTGCCTCTCTGCCTCTCTCCTCCTTGCTCACTCCCTGACACTTACCCTTTCCCCAACAGCACCAAACAGAATGGGCTGAGGAGTGCTTGGTGTGCTGAGGCACAGGACAGCATGTGTAGAGCATAGCTGGCCTGTCTCTGTTTCTGCTGGGATGGGGCCTCAAACCCCACACTCAGGCCATAGGACAGAAGTCCATTCAACCCAGAGATGTTCCCAGAGTTCACTGTGTCTGCAGATATCCTGTCCAGGAGCTTCAGTGGCTCCTACAGCAGCATTTCCTATCAATGAAAATCTCCACAGAGAGGCTTTGTTTTTTCATTGCTATTCCTAGTTGATAATGTCAGAGTGATTAACAGCCTTAGCACTAACTAATGAGCCACAGAGCCAGGCATCTTCCATACCCCAGATGCCTAATAAATGCCTCTGCCCCGTTGGCATTGGTGTGGAGTCACCTTTTTACCAAGTTTATGGCTGCTAATGAATGACATGCTGGGTATGCACTCCAATGCCATCATCTTCCATGCCCGGCTGCTGGTCATGCTTTGTCCTACTACAGTAATTCATGGTGTTTCTCTCATGGTCAGATCTTCCAGCTTTCCTTTGTATCCAAAATGCACCTTGGGGTGAGGGTGTCACAAAAGGCAAACCCCTGTCTAGGTGACACCATCTGGTCAAGTGAAAACCCCCTCCACCATGGAGAGAGAGGGGCATCAATCATGAAACAACATCCACGCCCCACACTCTTGCCCCTCACTCCTACAAAAGAGGAACTGTGCCCAGTGTTCTCATGTGCTCATTCACAAGTGTAAGAGGAAAGTAGACAGCACCTACTATGTTCCAGTCTAGCAACTCTCTCTACAGATCCTTGTGTTCAGCCACAGGTAGCTAATGTGCAGGAATAGATGTCAATGAAAATTTGAGACATTAGATTAGGCTGCTCTGGATGGTTTTTCTATAGCTGTCATTGATTCAAGAAACCATTCAATGGTTGGAAGGACAGCTCTCCACATGAACAAGAAAGTGAGAAGACCCAGCATGCTGTTTTAGAAAAGGTTGCCAATCATCCCTCTGCTCCTAATGAAAATGGGAAATTTTCAAGTTGTTTATTGTATTAGCACATTTGATGGACCCACTTGGGAAGATTATTTTTGTTTGTTTTACAATTCATCATCAACAAAATATTTAATAATACCTCTTCTGACTTTCAGACCATGACACTGGGCGACATTGTCTACAAGAGAGTCAGCAAGAGGATTTAGACAAGGCTGTATTTCATATTCTTTTACAATGTAAAATTGATACAATAAAGTTACCTTTGTTTTGAAATAATTTCTTCTTGGTGGCTTCTCACTGTGGTGCTATTGTTTTTATTGTATTAGAGAGAGATAGTGTGTGTTAGAAATTGAACCCGAGGTTTCACACATGTGTGGCATACACTCTGTCACTGAGTATTTCTCAAACTCTGTTTTCAGGGATCACAAGGGTGCCCTCCCACAGTGCTGCTTTATAGGGAAGTTACATTTACACTCTCTTTTTCCTGTGTAATCTTAGTAAATGATGAAGTCGAATGTATTAATCTTTTCCTTTGGTCTTTGCACTTTCTATAAGAAATCCAGCACTAGAGATGGCTCAGTAGTCAAGAGTACACGCTGCTGTTGTAGAGCACCCCAGTTCAGTTCTCAGCAACTACACAAGGCAGCTCCCACCTGCCTGTCCCTCCAGCTGCAGGAGATCGGACACCTTCTTTCAGTCTCTGAGGGTACTCCCACAGCGGCCCACACAGGCATACACATAATTAAGACTTTAAAAGAAAGTCTTGCATTTTAGAAGCTATCCACTGCTATGTGTCTCTTGTCTTCCTTTTCTTTCTATTTCTTAACTGGTTTGTTTGGAGGGAGGGAGTCATCTAAGTTAGGCTGGCCACAGACTCTGCCTCGTGTCGTTGAAGATGATGGTGAACACCTTCACCTCTGCCTTTACAACCGTATTCATCCCTGGATGTTATACCGACTTGCAGCATTTCATATTTATTAACTTGGCTCTTCAGTCTAGAATTCATTTCTGTGACTGGCACATCGGTGTGTGGCTGGTTTTTATTTTCCTCTGTAGTTGTTAGCTCTTTATCAAGGCTTCTTTATGAAGGCCGGGACACTTCTGGTGCTGAAAGGCTATGAGGGTGGTAATAGCAGAATTGAGCAGCAACTTGCTGTCTGAGAACTGGGTTGGTTTGCCATTTGTGGTGGCATGAACAAAAGCAGTTGAATGATTTAAGTAGGGCATTGTGGCCCTTACTAGTAGGAACATTGAAAACAATGGTTCTGAGGATGATTTGAACTGTGGGGGCCTGGCTCAAGAGGTTTCAGTGGAGAAGAATGTTAGTATGTGGCCTAGAAACTGCTCTTGTGATGTTTTGGCAATGAATGTGACCACTTATTTGCCCTTGTTCAAAAAGTTTGCCTGATACTAAATTGAAGGGTTTTTAGATTAGTTCCATTGGCAGAGGAAATCTCAAAACAGCTTCGTACTAGTGTTCACTCTAATGAAGATCTGTACCGAAAAGGAGCAAGCTAAGCAAGGAAAAAACAGAAAATGTACTATTTTAAGGGAAAGGGGGGCACCAGGGAGTGGAATGGAGCTAAGTTTTGTGTTCAAGATGATAAACAGAGTAAAGAAAAGCCTGATGTTAAAAGGAATAAAAGGAGTGGTGGGGGCTGGAGAGATGGCTCAGCGGTTAAGAGCATGGACTGCTCTTCCAGAGGTCCTGAGTTCAAATCCCAGCAACCACATGGTGGCTCACAACCATCCATAAAGAGATTGGATGCCCTCTTCTGGTGTGTCCAAAGACAGCTACAGTGTACTCATAATAAAAAATAAATAAATAAATCTTTAAAAAAAAAAAAAAAAAGGAGTGGTGACTTCAGAGCAAGACTCCACCTAGTTAAACTTCCAACTTGTGAAAAGAAATTGGCAAGTTTAGGGTAACAAATGCCTTTAATCCCAGCACTCCAGAAGCAGAAGCAAGTGAATTTCTAAGTTCCAAGAGGACAGTCAAACTTAGGCAGGGAAGGAAATCATCAAAAACAGAAAGCTGGTGAAGATGTCATTGAACAAGGGGGCCATATTCTAGCCTCACCAAGTAGCAGGTCTTGGTAGCTTTAGCCACACGGTTCTGGCTTTAGAGTCAAGGATAGAAGAAAGGGGTTATGGAGTCTCCCTCTGTGACTAAGGAAAGCTGTTGAGGCCAGGGATGTCTGGGGTGCTCCTACATGGAGGCCTAGAGAGGCCATTGTGTGAAGCTGTGAAGGTGAAGCCTGGATTGCTTTGGAGACCCCAAGATGTTGGAAATTTCCAGAGCCTTGGGATACCTGCCAAGGAGAACAGATAGCAGGGAGTGGAACCAGACCAAGATAGAGAAGTGTGTTGTAGCCAACTAAAAGGAATTAGAGATCTGAAGAGTGCTTTGACATCAGACTCAGAGATGCAGAGTTTGGAGTTTGCCCATCTGGTTTTTAGTCTTGCTTTGGTCCAGTATTTCCTCACAATGCTCTCTCTCCTCCCATTATATGTTGGAGGTATGTGATCTGCTTTCTGATTTTACAGGAGATTATAGTTAAGAAATTACATGAAAGTTTGAGACTATTATAGATTATCGGGATTTTCGAAGTTGAGCTGGATGCTTTTCTTCATTATTGTATGGCTCCAAGCCTATGTGGGGGGTGTCAGTAGAATGTGGGTGGTTTAAAAGGGATATTCCCATTTAGACTCATGTGTTTGAATGTTGGCCCATAGGGAATGGGAATACTAGGAGGTGTGGCCTTGTTGGAGTAGGTGTGGTTTTATTGGAAGAGGTGTGTCACTGGGGAGATGGGCTTTGAGGTCTCCTATGCTCAAGCTGTGCTCAGTGTAGCTTACAGTCTTTCTCCTGATGCCTGTGTGGATCAAGATGGAGAACTCTCAGCTCCTTTTCCAGCACCATGTTTGCCTGCACACTGCCATGCTTCATGCCGTGATAGTAATAGACTGAACCTTTGAAATTGTAAGCCAGTATCATTTAAATGCTTTCCTTTTTAAGAGTTGTAGTGGTCATGGTGTCTCTTCACAACAATAAAACCCTGAAACACCATTGTCCCACAAACTGGGTGGCATAAGCAGCAGACCTCACAATTCTGGAGACTAGAAGTCTGAGATCCAACGTTGACAGTGCCAAGTTTCCTCTGAGGGATCTAGGAAAGCATCTGGTCCAGGGCTCTGCTGTCTTCTAAGAGCTCTTTGGTGTGTCAGCATAACTCTGGTCTTCACGTAGATGCTTCCCAAGGATGTCTCAATAAGGATATTGGCCATATTGAATTAGGAGCCTACTATCTTTCCCTATGGTCTCAGATAGCAGCAATAACATTATTATGAAAGTTATAAGATATAAAACTTCCCCCAAATTAAAATGAACTACCAACAAGTCAATGGACAGGCAGGTCAAGTACATTTAATAGGCCACCCTCACTATAAAAGATGTTTATTTTACCATAACAGAGGTGGGGCATGTAAGACAAGGTACTCAAATACAAGAGCTAGTGAATGTTAAGACCACTTGCATCCAAGTTTGTAAGGATGCTATGACTGGCTCTACCATCAGTGGTGGGGACTAGTGCCGTGCCGTCAGTACTGAGGCCATTTGACAGCACCCCTTAACATTTTCAGTGAAGTCCCTAGCACCTAGAAAACACGCTTGTGCAGCTTCCCGAAGTAATACTACGTACGTGTATAGAAAGCATAAAGGATGTCACGAGCGTATGTTGGGTGTAGTAGTTGTTGGGTGTAGCAGTACACTGCCTTGTAATGCCTGCGCTTAGGAGGCAGAGAGATGTGGGGATCAGCCTGGCTACGTCTTAATAAACAAACAAGCAAGCAAGCAAATGGGCTGAGGGTATGGTGCAGTGGGGGAACACTTGCCTAGCATGCACACAGTTCTGGGTCTGGATTGAAAAGCAACAATATAAACTAGAAACAGATGCTTTGTCTAGATAGGGCCGAGGATATTGTTCAGTGGGTAAAGTGCTTTTATCACAAGCCTGACAACCTGACTTCAGATTCCCATAACCAGCATAAAGCCCAACAGACTGGCTTATGCATCTCTAGTCTCTGCACCCCAACAGGAAGAAGGGAGCAAAGAAGAGAATCCTTCGAAGCTCATGGGTCACTCATAGGCTACCTATCTCAAACAAGGTAGAAGATGAGAACCAGTACCTGAGGTTGTCCTCTGACCTCACACACATGCCATAAAATGCACATGCCACGCCCCCAACACAAGCATAGAAAAGAAGAGCAGAGGGGGCTGGAGAGATGGCTCAGCTAACTACTGTTCCTGCAGAAGACCCAAGTTTAGTCCTAGTACCCAAGTAGGAAGGCTCACAACCACCTATGACTCTAGCTCCAGGGATCAGATGCCCTCTTCTGGTCTCTGTGGGAACATGCACTTGTGTTTACACACACACACATACACACACACACACACACACACACACACACAAGAGTGAGTGAGAAAGAGTTTAAAATAAAACAAGTATTTTAAAAGTAAGAAAAGGGGGATTAAATCAAGTGTTGTAGATCAGTGTAGTTTGAAATAATCTATAAATGATGATGTCAGTCTAACACAAAGTAAATTATAGAAAAATGTAGCCCAGGCTCGCCTTCCCTTACTGTGTATCTGAAGGAACCCTTGAATATTAGATCCTCCTAGCTCCATCACCCAAATACCTGTAACCACCTTGACCAGCATAAACTTCAGAACAATTCTAACAACCTAATATCCTTCATGTAAACTGTGTTAAAGCAGGAAGGAAACGTGTCTCTTAATGTACATCTATGGGAGCTGAGGTCAACGCCTCTAGGCAACCAATACATCTGTTGTGGGGACAGAACCAGGAGGTTGAGAGCTTTTTACATAATTTATGTTAATTGGCTATTTTATAGGCAACCAATTTTCTGCATTTATGTGTTTGATGAGGAGGTGATTTAAGAAATGTTTGCCTTGTAAATACAGTTGAGCCAGCTGGCGTATGATTTTGGATCACAGTTACCGCTTCTATAAAATGCATAGTGCGATTTCTTCTTCGTGGCGTTTGAAAGGAGCCATAAAATGATTTGCAAAGCAAATGCTTTTCTCGGATTCCTGGGGGTGGTGTCAGGTGGCCAATTGGGTGTATATACTGGTTTTGTTATCAACTTAACACAAACTTTCAGTGACTTAGGAAGAAGAAACCTTAACTTAAGAGCTGTCTCTATCATACTGGATGCATATCTGTGGGAAATCGCCTTGGCTGATGATTGGAACTGCACAGCCCACGGTAGTAGCACAATTCAGGTGTGTCTGTGTTTTATAAGAAAGTGGGCTGAGCATAAGCCAGAGAGAGCAAGCAATGCTCCTCCAGAACCTCTGCTTCAGTTCCTGCTTCCAGGTTCCAGCCTTGAGTTCCTGTCCTGACTTCCTTCAGTGATTGACAGTTACTTAGGCTCTGTAAGCTGAAATAAACCCTTTTCTTCCTTTTGTCATGATGTTTGGCACAGCAAAAGAGTAGAGCTGGAACAGCGTGTGATATTTGGAGCATTAACAGACACTCTCATCACCATAGAAACTAAGCTGGGAGTGTCATGCAGAGGGAAAGAGGCTTGTATTGTCAATAAGCTGACAGCTAAGTTCTTTGACTCTGAAGCTAGAAAAAATAATTGAATGTTTTTCAGCAAAGTTTCTAGGGATCAGATCGAATTTCCCAAAAATGAGCCAGGCAGTGGTGGCGCTTCCCTTTAATCCCAGCACTATGAAGGCTGAGGCAGGCAGATCTCTGAGTCCAAGACCAACCTGGTCTACAGAGCAAGTTCCAGTACAGCCAGGACTCCACAAAGAAACCCTCTCTCAAAAAAAATAAATAAATAAAAATAAATAAATAAATAAATAAATAAATAAATAAAACAAACCATTTCCCAAAATGACTCCTACCAGGGTCTTGTACTGAGACTAGCTCTGGGTTGAGGAGTTGTCTTTTGCCCTGGGAGATGCTGAACTTGGATTTTGTACAGGTGCCCAGAGGATTTAGGGCCTGAAGAAACAGCTATTGATGGGCTCTACAATTTTCCCTTGGTCCATCTTATCTTCGCTCTCTACCCCCAACACACTCACATGCACACCCCTGCATGTGAGTGCACATACCAGCATGTGAGTGCACACACCAGCATGTGAGCACACAAACACACCAGCATGTGAGTGCACATACCATCATGTGAGTGCACATACCAGGATATGAGTGCACATACCAGCATGTGAGTGCACACACCAGCATGTGAGTGCACACCCCAGCATGTGAGCACACAAACACACCAGCATGCAAGTGCACATACCAGCATGTGAGTACACACACCAGGATATGAGTGCACACACCAGCATGTGAGCACACAAACACGCCAGCATGTGAGTTCACACACTTACTTGCTAATACTACAGCCCTTTACCTAGACTATGGACATTTTACCAACAGGGAGTGCTTGCTCATCCTGTGAGAACACTTTCCTGGCTAATGCACATTCTTAAGTATGTCCACAAAATAGCTGTTTCCTTTTATCTTCTTGTTTTTTATTTTCTCCCTGTTCTCTTTCATAATTGACTGCATTAGGGTAAAGAACGTGATTTGAAAGGGTAAAGGAAGGCTGGAGGGATGGCTCAGCAGTTAAGAGCACTGACTACTCTTCTAGAGGTCCTGAGTTCAATTCCCAGCAGCCACATGTAGCTCACAACCGTCTATAATGAGATCGGATGCCCTCTTCTAGAATGTCTGAAGACAAGGACAGTATACTCAAATTTTCACTGCAATGAGTCACTGGTCTGGTTCAAGGCCTCTGGCTTCTGCTACAGCATCAGTACTGGATCCTCACAGCACTCCTCTCGAATATCCTGTTGTTGCCCTGTACTATGGAGATCTTGTAATGAAAATTTGCAAGTGAAAATGTGTGAACAAAAGGATATACTGTGAGACACACTGTGACACACTACAGCTTCCACAAGGAGATGTTTTTATGTTTTATTTTATTTTTTGTCATTTTATTTTATTCCTGTCTTTTGTTTTCGTTTAGGGGAAGGTTGTAAGGGTGGAGAACAAAGAAATGAGTGGGATTGGGATACATGATATGAAATTCACAGCTCTCTCCTCCCTTACCTTTTTATGAGTAGGAATTATTTATCGTATGTATGTGAGTATACTGTCCACCACATACTTTCAAACATCATGGTGGCTCCTACTGTGGGCAGACACCTCTGGGTGTCCTCCTCAACCCACAATGCATGGCATGGTGGCTGCAGGTGGGCCTTCTGGGTACTTTGTCTTTTATTCATTCATTTGCTTATTTGTCTGTTTATTTATCTATTTATTTTACATTTTAATTATTTACTTGGGGGAAGGGGATGTGCAGGTGTCATGTGCACTTGTGGAGGCCAGGACAACTTGAAGGCCTCTGTTCTCCCCTCCCACTCTGTGGGATCTGGGGGTTGAACTCAGGTTGTCAGACTTAGTAGCAAGCACACTTCCCCACTGAACTATCTCACTGGTTCTGGATCAGTTTTTACATACACTGAGCACTCACAATTTCCTAGTGTTCCACATCAGAAAAAAATCACAGCCAGCCCAAGAGCATCCAAGGGTATTTATTTTGCAATCAGGTAAGCTGAAAATGGACATGAGAGGAGACAGAGACAGAACGGAGTATCTGCAGTGAGTCTTCTGATTTTGGAAAGGAGCTTGAACTTGACCCAGGAGTTTGAAGGTACTTAATGATGGGTTTACAGTCTGCAAATAAAGTGCTTTGTAGGAAAATCCTTCTGGCCATAGTGAAGGTCTCACCATATTTTTCTTCCTCAGATCTTTAGAGAGGCAGTCCCTAAGAGAGTCACCAGCCAATGACTATGTCTGATTAGTACACTGGTTCACCAAAATGGGGTGGATGCAGATGACGTTGTGGTGAGGGTGGTGCATAGAACTCTTAGCCATGTTTACTGTGGGTCTCAGGGCTAAAGGTTTGCAAGTACAGTCTCCAGTTAAGCCAAGACTCCTTTAGCATTCCATTCTGCCACTTCCCTTTCGTAAGTTTATACATGTGTTCTAAGTGTAAGACCCTGAGCATGGTCTTCACATTCCTTTCATGGCTAACTGCATGTCACCATGATATCAGTGAGCATGGTGCAGTGGAGACCTGTGCACAGTTGGCCCCCAAAGCTGATAAAGCCAATTTCAGCACACTACAACTCATTCCTTATCTGTCTAATTGGGAAAATGGAAACCCCAGCAGAAATGTGGTCTCAGCCAGTGTTAACACTAACGAGTTCTCTTTAAATGCTGCTGGGGTCTGGTGCTATCCTACAGTCTGTATAGGGATAGGCCTTTAAAAAAAATCCAACTTCCAACATAGGCAGAGGGAGAGAGGAGGAAACTGAGGCAGGGTACCATTCTGGGATGAAAAGCTGGGGATGGAGGAACTAACATTTTAGGCAGACAAATTGCAGTTATTGGGAATCATGTGACTTCAAGATGTTAGTGTTCTGGGGTCAGTGGTAGCACAAGGTTTTGTAGAAGTTTTGGTGACATCCTCAACCAAAGGAATTTACTTCATGATCCCCCACCATGTTGATGAGAAAGTTGAGGTTCCAGAAACTAAAAGAGCATTCTTTGGCCTTCATTTCTCAGCCAGAAGTTGACCTCTAAGGAAATGAGAGCAAACTGGCCACTCTTCTGATGAGATCCTAGGCCAGGTGAACTGCCATCCTTAAGGGCAGAAGCCCCCAGAGCACAGACAGGATAAAGGAATCAAGCAGAGGAACTAACAGTCACTCAGTATGATGAGTAGAACCTCATTGGGCCAGACTCCTCAGGCCTGAAACCCCTCCCATGGCACTTCTGATGGGTCCATCCTTGCCAGGCATGCACACAGTCAGCTTCACTCTGAAAAGCCTTCCTCACTCCTACAAGCCAATGGCCAGGAAACCTCAGCTTTTTTTCAACATCACAAGAAGCTACAGTCTTGGTGGGTAGGACCAGGAAGGGAAAAATTCCTTCTTTGTGTGTTCTAGAGTTATTCTAAAGCTATGCTTCAAGCTTGGATTAAGAATTAAGACCAGAGGACCTCAAGATCCCTGCCTCTTTCTAGGCACCTTTGAGTAGATCTCAAAGGGCCAAATGCAACCCCAGCCTGAGGATATAGGATGTCACCCATCCCAGTCTGCAAAACCCCAAATATTCATAACTGTAGATGAAACCAGCAGCCCCAGAGATGACTGCACAGATAAACAAGCAGTCACCTGAGATTCTAGGTACCTGCCACTCTTAGCTCAGCTGTTACTCTCAACACACACACACACACACACACACACACACACACCTCCTCTGAAACTGTCTCCATAAGTGGCATTTACTATTATGCTGTGCCTTGTTTGTTTACATTTTTATTTCTAGCCCAGTTATATTCGGGACTACTTTATTAAATAGATGGTGGAATCTAGCACCCAACACATATAGAAAGAGTTGGTCTGAGATGAGAGAGAACTAAGCTGCGTTGAGTTGAACCAAAATGACGGTTGGAGACGCAGAGTAGTAATTTCCTCAGCTCCCCAGCCACAATGCCCCCACCCTCCAACAAGGTCCTCACTGCTTCTTATGGAACAGAGCTGGGGCTGGTTCATTACTGGGTTCAGCCATGACCTGCATGGGCTGGTTGTTCATGGCAGCCTCACGCATCTTGTGGTACATGAATTCATTTTGGCGGAACATGCGCAGTTCCATCTCGGTCTGCATCCTCATGGCCTGTGGGATACAGATACAGCACTGATAAGAACAAGTCTCAAAGACACAGTCCTGACATATCTTTGGATAAATGACCCCTGGTCAATAAAATACAACTCTATGCCTTCAGAAACACGGAGGGGGCACTATTGTGAACTGATGGTGTAGCAGTATGTCTCACATCATAGAGAGAGGGGGTTGGATCCATGAGACAGTAGCCAAAGAGTCGTTTTCAGCAGGAAATGCTTTTTATTATCAGAGGAGGACCTGGATCTAAACCCTGGATCCTGAACTCTGTGGTTGTAAGACCTCAGCAAAGTGACTTGACCACTTCAGGCCCCTGTTTCACCATCCAAAAGACGAAGAGATTTCTCTGCACTTTATATCAGGTTGGGAAGATTATAGTGTACCACGCACAACAAAGTCCTTGTATCCCACCTATCCACTCAGAGAGTATTCAGAAAGAGCTATGTTCAGAGGCCCAGGTCACTATGGTAAGACTGACAGAGATTCTGCCATTGACAAGCTTAATATACTAGATATAAAATTAGCCATATCTGGCCTTACCATCAAACCACTGGATAACTATAGACAGAGAACTTCCCTTTTTGGGGCCTCTGTTTCTGCATACTAATCAAGGGGGTAGGCTAAAGCATCCTAAGTTTCTTTCTGGTCTAGCTGGCAATCTATAGACTTCCACAAAGCAAAGTCAAGGTGATCCAGGACTCCCATCTTAAGAGATCTTCTAACAAGACAGTGACTGTCCACCTCCAGTATGCTATTTACCTCTAAGTCTTTGGTGATAGGGTGGGAGGGTCCATGGGTCACCAGGAGAATAGCATAGGCTTTGCAGATCATCCCATGCCCCACTTCGATGTGACCAGCATGCCAGTTGGTCAGCCCTGCCCGCATCACAGCCATGCCCAGTTGGGCATTGTTATGGTGGTAGAGTTTCCTGCAGAGGCACAGAAAGCAATCATGACTCATTATCACAAGCACCTTTACATCTGTACAGCACAGAATAACTCCTGATGTGTGCTGGTGGCTGTCATTATCATCTTGACATAATCTAACATCACTTGGGATACGAGTCTCAGTTGAGGCTATGGGTATGTTTGTGGGCAACTGTCTTGAGGGCCTGTGGATAGCACCATTCCCTGAGCTGAGGATCCTGTACTTTGTACAAGTGGAGGGGACAAACTGAGAGCAAGCTTGCATGCATGCATGCATGCATTCCTTTCTGGTCTTGAGTGTGGGTGTGCTGTGACCTCAGCTTCCCAGCACTGATGGACTGTGACCTGGAATTGGAAGCTCAAATAAACTCTTTCTCTTCTAAGCTGCTTCTCTCAGGGTGTTCTGTCACAGCAGACAGAAATGACATCCAAGCCAATACTCTTATGGATCAAGTTCATCTAGACTTTCACCTAGAGCTATAAGGCACCAGCAGCTTCTCAGAGGTCTATGTATTGAAATACATATAGCTGACTAATGTTCTACACAGTGAGGTCAGGAGAGTTGGGAATCTGACCTGGACCACGAAGCCAATGCTTCATGGACAAAGAGGGCCACAGGTGTACTCTGAGCCTGAGCCTAGGGAGCCAGGTACCATCTGGAGAACCCTCAGTTCTCTGGGGACCATGAAAAGAAGCTCACGGTGGGAAATACAACTTTAATGTCCTTCCTGGGGCTGCACTATATTTTCTTCTCCTAGCAGGGCTCCTTCCTAGCATGCTGACAGTTTACCTGCATGTTTAATGAGTAGCATCCTCTAAATAAAAGCTTTCTTATGAAGAGTTAATCATCTGACCAGAAACACAAATTCCTACGATAATATGAACATAGAAGGCAAGAGAGAGCATTGGTGGGAGGGAATAAGAAAGCAACATATTATAATTTATAAGCAAGAATGGTCCTTCTCATCATAGCAGAGCTGTGAAACTTATGCATGTGTGTATATATCTGCACAATATTATTTATGCATGCATATACATATATATATGTCTACTTATATAAAGATATACACAATGTAAATAAATATATTACTATGGTTTGGATAAGTGTCCATGCCCAAGACCTATGCATAAAATATTGGTCATAGGTTATTAAAGAGAGAATAAAAAAAACTTTCCAAGCACTTAAAATCAAGCTTCATTTAGGAAAATCAAAGGCAGAAGGCATGGCTCAAGTGACAAGTAAGGAATGTATACACAAACAAAGCAGAGCTGACAACTAGGCTTCATCTGAGGACCAGGTCTGACATCATTATTTGATCATTACTACTTGGAACGACATGATTAAAAGGTTCGTTTGTAAGGAGAAGCATGACCATGACCATGGCCTATGACCAATTCCATTTGTGGGTATAAGAGAAACAGTCAAATGTGTGCCATCTCTTTGGCATCCCTGAAACAGAGGGTTTCTGGGAGACTACCCGAGACTTAGGGCCACTGCGTACATGTAGCCATCCACCATCCTCCTAGCGTAATGTGAGGCCTCCTCAAAGGCCTGAAGGTAGGAAAGAACCTCTGACACGATGCTCAGCAGCCGAAGCACATACAGGTTGGTGTCAGCAAACACTGGTTCCTGCTTCTCCAGGCACTCCCGACACAGCTTCACAACCTGGAGGGAGACACAGCTTCATCCATCACTACTGTACCAGAGTATGTCTTAACCGATAGACAGAACATTAAGACAACACTAGACTCACTCTTTGAAACCTGGTGAAACATAAAAACAAGATTTGTGGCTTGAACTAACAAAATGGTCCACGTGGCTAAGACGTAGGCATGGGAAAGGGTAGTTGGGACATAAAGATGACACAACAAAGTGAAATTTTCAGTCAGTAGATAGCAGAGCTGTAGAAACTACATATACAAGTATGTGTGTATCTATACATATGTACTAAACTTGTATATACATATGCATCATATACATATACATCATATATATATGTATATATATATATGTGTGTGTGTGTGTATATACACAAAGTAAATGTACTGATATGGTTTCGGTAAGTGCCCACCCCTAAAACCTACATATTCAAGGCTTAGTCATCAGCCTGTGATGTTATTGGGGGTAGAAGTGAAGAGAGGAGAAGCCAGAGGAATGGAGCCCACGGAAATAACACCCCATCCCTTGTTGTGGTTCTTGTCATAGATCTCCTACCATGCATAACACTTAACTTTCATGGCTTCCTCCCATCTGACAGAACTTGGGGGCTACGGAGAATGCCTTACACCGTCGCCCTAGTAAGGGCTCATATATGTGCAGTGGATGAATTAGTAAAGGAAGAGGAGGAAAAGAAGGGAAATGAAGCAGCTGTGGAGTAAAATGAACTACCATATCAACACACCCCAGTGACTCCCACACCTGGCTCAGCCAATATGCATAACGAGCTTGGGGAAAAGCCACTGACTCGTGGTGCCTCTGTTCCATCTCAGAATGGATAGATCCCAGCTTAAAGGACAAGACACAAGAATAAACTTCCAACACGTTGCTGAGACCAGCTTCTCAGGTGTGATGGTATAAGCTGTGATTCCCATACTCAGGAAGATAGAGAGTTGAATACCAGCCTATATTACATACAAAGACCTCGTTTCCAAAAACTAACCCAGCAATAGCTCTGCAGACCACTTGGCTGCACACTGAAAACCCATGGAGGCTATGAAACCTTGATGCCCAGATGCCTCTAGCAGAGGCTTTTAGAGAAAGTGTCCTGGTTGGAGGAGGCGTTTACATGGATGATTATAGTATACAGCCAGATGAGAAGCCATGGGGCTTTAGGAGCCAAGGTTGAATGCCCAGTGCGCAGCAGCGACAGGGTGTAAGAGGCATATATTCAGCGATGGAAACGCAGGCATGCCACTCTCAGTGTCCAGTCTTCTGTTTCTGATGCCACACGAGCTGTCACAGGCACTCCCCCCCACCCCTAACGCATGGATCCAGCTCTCCTGGGCCAGATCTCATTGGGTTCAGCAGTCATGGAGAATACGTCCTTAATGGGTGCTAAGATAGAAGAGCATGAAGAGAAACGGCCTTCCAGGAGTGCAGCCTGTTCAGTGGTCTCCTTTTTCTCTCCACATACCTCCCTCCCTCTCCACCCTCTTCCCCATCACTATCCTCTATTAAAAGTGCTCTCACCTCATGATACAAACCCTCGGAGCGAGCCTTGTCTATTTTTTCCAGAGTATCCTTTGAGAATTGTATCATCTCCTTCACCACTTCCTGGGAGGGCTGGGAAAGAGAGGGACATCCAGTTTGAGATCACCTCACGGGGCAGCCCATTTTATCTCTGAAGATCAGAAGGCTGGAAACGTAGCTCCATAGTAGAGCACTTGCCTTGCATGCATAATGCCCAAGGTTCAATCCCACTACTACCAAAAAAGAAACAAAAGTAAACCCTCTTCGAGTATCTGCCATCTTTGACATTCACTGTAATGAATTCATTCACTGTAATGAATTCATTCACTGTAATGCCCTCTGAACTCTGAATGTCTCCTTTCTCCAAGTGTACTAAAGACCACTGTGCCTTTGCCAAATGCTTCTTTGTGCTTCCTTTTCTCGCTTTCTTAATTTAGAGCTTTTTGGGTTTTGAGGATTTTACACATGAGACCTGTATTCACATCATTTCTATCCCTTTTCCCTACTTCAATCTCTCCCATGTTCCCCCACTCCCTCTCAATGCTCCCACATACATGCTCGCATACACTTGTGGGCACATGCATGCATGCATGCACACGCACGCACACGCACACTCGCGCGCGCACACACACACACACAGTCATTAAGAATGACCACTTGACTTGAATAACTTACCAGGAAGCTCATCCCTGAAGAAAATTGATTCTCCCTCTCTCCGCAGCCACTGACTACCTGCAGCTTTTCATTTAGGGGCAGGGCCATGTAAGAGCTCCCCTGTCCACACTGGCGTATTGACTACTGTACTTATTCAGGTCTTGCTTAGGCAACCACTTTGTTGAGGTTTCACGGGTGTAGCTTCCCTGCTGTGTCTAGAAGATGCTATCTCACAGAGGGAATCCTAGTCCTCTCTCTTACAGTCATTCTGCTCCCCTTCCTGTAATTTTCCCTGAACCTTGGGTGTAGGGGCTGCATTGCGGGCATATCAGTTGGAATTGGTCACTTTATGGTCACTTATCCTGTGCATTTTGACCAGTTGTGGATCTTTGTCATAGACTGTGCAAAAGAAGCTTCTTTGATGAGGAGTGAGAGCCACACTTATCTATGAATAAAAGCATCAATATTTAGAATACAGTTAGAGGTTTTATTGGTTTAGGAAAGTAGTAGTTTCTCTGCTGGGCTCCGTGACCTCCAGCAATGGGTAATTGGCTAGATTTACAACTCTAGGCAAGAATTCTTGTGCTTGAGCCTTAAGTCCAATTAGACATCTGTTGTTTACTGCCAAGATAAAGGTGTCACTATAGCATCGTTAAGGATCTCTTGCTGGCCAGTTGTGGCTTTTATGCTCTCGTGTGGGTAGAGATACCAGTTCTTGTTCCTCAGAAGGTTTCATAGCACCTTCCAATACTGTGAGAGCCGGTCCTCAGGAAGGAAGCTTTTAGCTCAGTTTCTCCAGGGCCTGTCTCTGGTGTGTGATGTCCTCTGCAGAAGGTCTTACCTTCAAGTGCTGGGAGGCAACCAAGGGCAATGGTAGTAGCCTAGATTGTTCTGGGGTCTCTCAGACATCCCTGGTCAACAACTGAATGGGAGGTTTCCTGTACCTAGCACTGAAGTTTTTGTTAGACAGTCTACAGTTTTATTTTTTGTTTTTTGGTTTTTGGTTTTTTTGGAGGGGGAGCATTACCACACAAAATTGCATAAATCCATTTAAACCACACACACACACACACACACACACACACACATGTGCTCGTACATTTTAAATATGAATTTTTGAATAGGCTTATGCAACCTGAGGTAGGCATTTTTTTCCATTTATCTCTCTCTCTCTCTTTCTCTCTGTATATGTGGTGTGTGTCTCTCTCCGTGTGTGTGTGTGTGTGTGTGTGTGTGTGTGTGTGTGTGTGTGTGTGTAGGTCAGAAGAGGGCATTGGATTCCAGGGAGTTGGAGTCACAGGAAGTTGTCAGCTTCCTGCCCAACATAGATGCTAGGAATGAAACACAAGTCTTCTGGAAGAGCACCAAGCATTCTTACCCACTGAGCCACCTGTCCAGCCCCCTCTTTACACTCTGGTGACTAAGGCTTAGAACCTCAGTATCACCTTGTCATTGGCAGTCTGGCTCACTGCTGGGTTTTTGGATCCGAGAGCAGAACTAGCCATTGGCTCCCTCATCTGTTGCCTCTGGAGTTTTGGACTTGGATCCTGTTGTCTAAAATGCTCTGCTTCAAGTCAAGCACATAGTTCACAGACAAGCCTTGTATTTATGTCTTCATCTGAGTCACTGATTTTAAAACACAGAAGCCAGCTGTGGTGGTGCTTGCCTCCAGCCCCTGAACCTAGGAGGTCGAGAGCAAGAGGATCAGGGGTCCAAGATCAATCTCAGCTACAAGAAATCCTGTCTCAAGAAACCAATAAAATAAAATTACTAATTATTACCCAGAACAGGAGTAAAGCCTGAGGACCTGATACAAGAATCGTATTCCAGTGGCCACCGGCGCTTACTACGAGGATTCTTATGGTCACAATCCTTCAGACCCTTCTATGTGTCTTACCATGTAGCCATTAGTTATTTATCTTGATCAAAAGAAAAGTGTGAGAGATTTTTATCAGCTCTTTCTGAATACTGGACTCATCTGGCTTCCTACATTAGATAGACTTAGCAGTCTAGTGATCTAGCCAAAGCTATTACACTAGGTTTTGGTATATGAGGTAAGGAAGCACTATAGCTACAAAAACAGTTCCCACAAGGACAGCATTATTTTTTGAAGGGGGTGTGCCAAATATCTTTAAGTCCAAAGAGAGAGGAGGGGCTACACAAGGGGCGGGGCTACGCCAGCAGGTGAGCAGCCCCTTTGCAGGAGGCAGAGAGGAAAGAGGACAGAGTATGAAGAATGTTTGTTCTTGACTTTGGAAAAGCAGCCTTGAAGGCTAGAAAGAGACAAAGAAAAACCCAACTGGGCTAAACAGAAAGTATCCGGAGGTACAACTGAGGAAAGTGTAACACGTTCTGTTTTTATTATCTCATTTTAAACTTTCTGTTTGCATTTCATAGAGGGTACTGTGCATATATGAAGGGTGGTTGGAGAACTTCTGGTCTGATCGATCATGGGGCTGCCTACTAGCCTCTCATAAAATGTTTTAAGGAGGAAAACAGCTGAGCTTGGCATGGTGGCTGTCCTGTGGTTACTAGCCTTGGGAGGCTGAGTGGGAAAATCAGGATTCAGGTTCTCCTTAGCTACATAGCAAATGCAGAACAGCCTGGGCTTCGTGAGACACTGCTTCATACATTGTGATGACACCGTACATAGTTCAAGCTGAGGGAAACACTGTTAAATTCTGCTAACTTTCCATTTTACAGAAGGGAAATGAGGTACCAAAGGAAGAAACATGCCCAAGTTCAAACATTCAGGGTTGTACCTGGACTGAAAACAGGCCTTCTCATTTTTTTTCTTTTTTCCTTCCCCGCCCCCCCTTAATACATTACAATGGCTTAAAAAGAAAGAAAACAAAAGTGATAACCTAGCAGGCTATACACCTGCAGTCCCAGCACCTGAGAGGGAGGCTGATGTGGAGAATGAGGAGTTAGAAACCAGGATGAGCTAAATCATTAGTTTAAGACCAGCAGGACTGTAGCTCAAATTAATTCATTAGAAAACCATAAAGGTGCACTTAATCTTTCCTGTCCAAATATTTAAGTTGAGATACTTTTATTTTGAGTTCATATGTTTACTTTAATAAAGAACCCAACTTAAGAGGCCAGCAAGATGGCTCAGTGGGTAAAAAAGCACTCACCACTAAACCTGACAACCTGAATTTAATTCCTGAGAATCACATGGTAGGAGAACCAACTTCCACAAATTGTCCTCTGATCTCCTCACGGGCACACACACATACACACACACACAAATGCGGTTTTTGTTTTTGTTTTGTTTTGAAGGTTGTTTGTTTTTGAGATAGGCTCTCTCTATAATGTACCTCTGGCTGTTCTGGAACTCACTATGCAGAACAAGCTGTAGACCAAGCTGGTCTCAAACTCATAGAGATCAACCTACTTCTATCTCCCTGAAATTACAGGCATGCCTCACCACACCCAGCCAATAAATATAATTTAAATGTTTTAAAATAGAAAGCCCTACTTGGTATCTAAAAAAATACTAGAAATATTTTGCTTTGAATCTAGTTAAGTTCAAACAGAAAACATTATTCTTTTTTCAGAGACGTGTCAACCTGAGAGACATCGGCGTGTTATCACCACTAGCAGTTTATCTCCAGTGATGGAGGAGGACCTAAGACCACCATCACCTTCCGAACTGTGCAAACACACACAAATATTTATGCAGACTTAAACTACTCTATGTTGTAGGATTTTGAAAGGGGGAAAAAGGATCTTGTCTACTTACCAAAAAACAAACAAACAAACAAAAACAAAAAACCCCCATAATCCTTAGCCCAAACTATTTTATCTCCTGCATAGGAGGATCAACTAAATGTCTCTACCCCATGCTTCATTGACCAACTGGTCACAACTTCCTTCTATTTCTTTCTGCAAGGATACTGACTATGCTTGCATGCCAAAATGCGTGCACACGGCTCTTAAGTTTCATAACACAGTAAAAAGACATGGTGTTATGAGTTGAATGCCACCCTCTCAAAATCATATATATGTTGAAGTCCTAAGCCCAAAGAGCTCAGACTGCAGCCCAGCTTGCAAGTAGCTTCCTTGCAGATACAATTACCTAAGATGAGACATGGTGAATGAAGTAGGGTTTATCTCTAACCCCACATGACTGGTGACCTCATTTTTAAAAAGGGGGATCTGAGGAACAGATCTCACTGCAGAGCTGCATACAGACGCCTGTTTCGTGCATATGAATGGTTTAGGTGTTGTTTTCTGTTTAAGTATTTCCCTGTGTGTTGATTTGAGGGTTTTTTTCCTCTTCTCACTATTTTATTATTTTGAAAAGCACCACTGCAGTCTATCTTTAGCTGTGTATCTTATAGCAAACATGTGAGTGTCGTCTCTTCTGGGTAGATTCTTAGAAGTAGAACTTCTTGGTGAAAATGTTTATATGATATAATAAGAATACAAATAAGTTGCTGGCCAGAAAATTACGTAGAGCAGCCCATGGATGAGGGGAGGGACACTGGGGTGTGGAGGGTGTTTTCTCAACATCAATGAGCACGTGCATCAGTAGGTAATGGAGCCATGAGACAGATCATATGACCGGAACCCTGGAATTCACCTAGCACCTCTGCTCTAACTAGGAACACATTTCCTCTTATACGCAGGATTCAGAGGGGGGTTTAGAATTGCATGTACGTGTACTCACAGACGATAGTGGAGTAGCAGTTATAGAGAAGTATTTAGTAATCTTCTTGCATACATCTACTGAGACCTCCTTACTGGGGAAGAGAGGAAGCCTTGAAGATATTTTTACCACGATGACATGATAGTCAATTATTTTGTACCCTGAGCTTTTCCCCCTTGACAGAATGACAGAATATTTCCTCTAATCACAGATACAGAAAATGGCCTGAGCCTTTTGACCAAGTTCTCCCAACAGTGAGAATAGTGCCCCCACACCTGTACTAGCCCACCCTCCACCCCTGTGCACTCCAAGGGAGGAAATGGATGAGCAGGAATTTGTATCTTGTCTGGTTTCTGCTTCTTGTTTATACTGCTATGTAAGTGTCTAAATATTTCACTCCCATTTTTGATGTGTGGCTTTAACTGGCTATTCTGTCCCCGAATAGCTCAACTCTCTCCCAGCTCAGCTGAGCTCTTGGCATCCCCTTGGCAAACCTGTCCCATCTCCATAGTACCCATCTCTGCACAACAAGGAAAACCATAGCAATCCTTCTTTGCCTGTTGGATTTTGGTCTGATGTTCTCCACATTATTTAACCTGTACAGGCTCTGAGTGGGGAACTGAATCCTGCTGAGTGCCTTGTGCCAGGCCTCTTATGCAGATCACCTTGTCCAATGTTCATAATAACCATGTAGTCAAGCCATTGTTATCCTTTCACAGGGAAGATGGCTTCTTCAGGTGTCCCCCAATGTCAGCTGTGACCTGCCTGCCTTGCTCTTATCTCTATCCCACACCATCCCTCAAGGCTGTAAACCGTGGGGCTGCCCAGCTCCTGGGAAGGTAGCCTCAGACCCTGAAGCAGGGTTGTGAGTACCTTGGGGTCTTCCTTCACTGCCAGGAAGAGGTCATCCTTCAGTCCCTTCTGGCAGTGCTCACAGGAGCAGTCAAAGTAGTACTGCTTCTTCAGCTGCTGCCTGCGCTCTTCGCTGAGGTGCAGGAAGTCTATGTAAGACACCGTCAGCTCCTCACCTTCTGAGATCTTGCCCAGGGCCCGGAGCTCAATCCTGAAGCAAGACAAGAGAGAGTCAACAGAACCCTGGGCTGATCAGCATTCTCCAGGGCTTCCAGCAGCCCAGCATCAGTGACAACAGCCTCCACTAAGGCTCTGAGAAAATGCCCATTCCCTCCAGAAAGGTCACAACCTACAGCAGAGCTTTCATTCTCATCCAGCATCACGTCTGCTCCACTCAGTCAGCATCTCTGGAAGTGGTTCAGATAGAAACCCCAGAAAGGACCGGGCTGGTCTTAAAGCTCTATAGAGATTCTATGCCCACAGTTTCATATACTCAGCTACTGATCAGCGGTCACAGGATGGGAATAATAATGAAGAGAAAGCAAGAAAAGATCCAAAAATCATTTCCTTAGTTTGAAGACCACATCCTCTGTAACGTATATGTGAAGCTGCCGCCATCTTGGCCCATTCTGTGCTAGACCTTTCAAGCTCCCTTGTACTCTATGCTTAGGTGCAATGGCTCAGGCCTATGTTATGTAGAGAACGTATGCTCACTGGAGACCACCAAAAGCATCTGGATATAAAAAGACAGGGGCTGTTAGTCTGATTCACTTTCCTGTTTGTTGGAAGATGGTGCTAACTGTTCGTTAGCAACAGTATTTTTATTTTTTTATTTCCTCTCAATCTAGGCAAGGCCCTTAGTTACTCAGAAAACTACCCACCTTACTATATAATAATACAGAAGTGAAAAAAGCCGCTGACAGCTACCCAGCTACACTATCACAGTGTCTCTTAGACATGCACCTCTCAACCATGCCTCTCCACCAGTCAGACTGCAGGAGGGGGTGGGGAGGGAAGAAGAAAAGGGAGGAGGAAGGGGAGAAGGAAGAGCAGGATGAGGAAGAGAGGAAGGAGGAGGGGGTAAGAAGGAGGAGAGGGAGAAGGAGGAGAAGAAGTGGCAAGGCCTATGATACAAGCTCAGTCCTCAGTTGCATGCCTGTAGCCCCGGGAGCCTGGAGTTTCACTGCCCAGGTAGTAAGTGGCAGAAAGCAGCAGACTGGGGCAGAAATCCTTGGTCATCACTCCTAGAACGATTGTCAAGAGCCATGTGAAAAGCAAGATCCCAGCACCCCAGAAAGGTCCACAGGCACCCCCCTTTTGCTCTTCTTTGAAGATAAAGAAGTAAATGCTGAGTGGCGGGGATATGCAGGCCCCACTATCTGGGCTGACTACTTAAGGTTCCAAAGCCTTGTGGATGTGGAGGACATTGGGGTCGGGCTGGGAGTGTGGCTCCGTAGAAGACTGCTTGCTAAGCACGCATGGAGCCCCGGCTCAGCTCCCAGCACCGATGTCAGGGAAGGGGAGAATGAATGTGTATAAGCGCAACCGAATGGTGCCTTGGAAAGACCGAATGCTCCCCTCCTCTCGCTCCTTCGTTCCCCTTGAAAGGGGCAGGAAGGAAGAACAGGGGCACTTTTCATATTCTGTCTTATAAGATACAATTAAACTCCATACTGTAGAAAGAAATCTGCATGTACATGTTACTGATAACTCAACACTGGTTTGTTCTGTGGTAACTATTACCAACACACGCACGCACGCACGCACGCACGCATGCATGCGGGTACACACACAAACATACACAGCCCAGATGCCCACTGAGTGGCACAAGGTCAGTAATACTGGCACACTAACTAGACCAAGTATTTCATGAAGTGCCTTGGCCCAGACATCCACAGAATGAGGTAAGAGTGCTAGGAATTACAGCACAGAAACTGCAAGTCTCAGAGGCGTGGCTGACTGAGCTCCAGGATGGCTGACCTTCTGTGTCCCTCACCCCCACACTATCATCTGCTCCAGGACGGCTGACCTTCTGTGTCCCTCACCCCCACACTATAATCTGCCGGTAGAGGTGACATGGAAGGTAGCTGTTTCTGAAGATGCAGTCTGCTGCCTCTGCAGACCATCTGTTCTCTGGCTAGAGCACAGTTTAAAATGTTAATCCCGGTGGTGCCAGGCAGCTGGAGCTCTGGCATTCCAGGGACGCTTCCCAGTTTTCTCCAAAGGGTGTGGCTGAAGTGACAAAGACAAATGGGGGGGGGGGGCGAGTGAACACACGTGATCCTGCTCACTACTCTCTGAGAAGCCTGGTGTTTCCAATCTGTAGAGCACCCTTATTTCACAGAGAAGGCTGCCCTCATTAGGGAAATAAGTCATTTCCCTCTATCCCAGTGGGAGGCAGAGCTGAGATTAGAATTTAGGTATCCTTTGTACCCTTCAGACTGGCAGCTCATGGCTTTCAGCTGCCTCCTGGGTCTGTGATAGGAAGGGCCTTATTTATATGGCTCCACTAATGTTCTAAAATGTCCTATGCGAGCCACTCCTGGGCTGTGAGGGCAGTGGATGACTAGTGCCCTGGTGCAATAGGAAGGCAAATTGGAATCATTCCTCTGCTGAGCTACATCTCCAACCTCCATATTCTATGTTCTGGGCATATTTTGGGACTATGTATTCCCCGGTAACCCTTTACAGAGATGGCCACCACAGTGACATACCATGATGCAGTGTGATTCAGTGGCAGATTGGTTGGTATTTTCAGAAACTCGTCTATCCATGTAAGACTGGATTATTTAAATAGTGGGGGGAAATCAAAACCAAAGTGAGTGTGGTGGCACATGCTGTAAGCAAACACTCTTGAGGATTATGAGTTTGAGGTCAGCCTGGGCTATATAGGAAGTCCAGGGCCAGCCTGGATTATTCAGTAATCTTCTATATCAAGAAAGAGAAAAAGAAAGAGAGAAAGAAAGAAAGAAAGAAAGAAAGAAAGAAAGAAAGAAAGAAAGAAAGAAAGAAAGGAAGAAAAAAGAGCTGGGGCAGAGAAGAAAAGTAGGAGGAGAAAAATGACAAGGGGAAGAGGGGAGGAAAGGTAGAAGGATAGGTCACAGGGAGGGAGGTAAAAGGAAGATTCCAAAAATGAATTAACTTTATGTCACTTAAATATAAAAACATGCCTATAATCTCAGCTACTCCAAAGACTAAAGCAGTAAGTTCAAGGCCTACCTGGACAACAGAGCTCAAAGCAAAACTAAACAAACTAGTGATGGTCTCATAATAAAAAATAGAAAGGGGGCTGGGGATCTACCTCAGGGGTAGACTGCTTGTCTGACACCTCAGGCCTTGGGTTCAATTCCTAGGACTGGAAAGAAGGAAAGAGAAGAGAAGTAGAGGTGAGGGGTGGGGAAGGAGAGAATCCGTAGATCCGCACCCCATATTACACTACAAATGCTTCTCAATACATATCAGGGTATGTCCCAACACAGTCATAGTACGTTAAAAACACTATAAGCATCTAACGTACTGAACATCATGGCTTAACTTTGCCTGCCTTAAATGTGCTCAGAACACGTTCAATAGGTAGGCAAAACGAGTCAGCATGAAGCCTGTTATATAGTGAAGGGACAAATGTCTCTCATAGTTCATTTATCACTGTCCTAAAGGTGAGAAATGTCATGGCTATATCCTTACATGTTTGTTATTATAAACATAAACACTGTTAAGTAAAACCACCGTAAATTAGGAACTGTCTGTACTTAGAATCAGGGATTAAGAGATGAGCAGTGATGAAAATAATCACTGCAGGAGGCAAGAATTGAAAGCTTATCCCTGCTCCTTCCTTCACCAGCTTCTTTGGTTAAATCAGGTTCACCCAGAGACCCAGACCCCTTCCATCGCCAAAAGTTTCCAGTTCTGTAGGGAAGCTAAGCAAAGTACAAGCAAGCAACTCATCCCAGTGTTCGTTGCAGACATTAGGAACAAAGCCAGAACCATATAGACTTAGAACTAGGGAGGTCCCAAGAGTTGCTTTTTTCAATGTTGTTTATCTTGCTATTTTTGTTTTGTTTGATTTGAAACAGGTCTTATGTAGCCCAGGCTGTCTCAAACTCATTTGTACCCAAGGATGATTGGGAATCCTGATTCTCCCGCCCTACAGCCCTACTGCCCAAGTTATGTGCCTTTGACCTTCATTTGCAATACAGGTTTGGAACCCCAGCCCGGGACATGGGGTGAGCTGTCCAAAGTCACAAGCAGTACACACTGATACAGATATACCAACCATCCCTGCCCTTGCTGCAAAGCTCAAATTTTGGAATACAACATTTTGTTTTAAATCTACTTGAAACCCAGATATTAAGCCCAGACAAAGTAAAAGACCTGTGTAGTCATCATTAAGAAAAGCCCAGGGGATATGGTATTTTGGATGACCTAAATTTGTGTTTCCTGGCCATGGTCTTATTCCTTTTAAAAGGAGAGCTGTGGTTTTTGAATTGACAGTTACCATGCCACAACATGAAAATGATCCACTTTTCCCCAGAGGAATCGCCTGCACCACGGTATAGACGTGGCCCTATTGAGAACAGACAATCTGGTATTACTCCTGATGAACCAGCCTGCCTCCTTCTTATGCTTAAAAGTCATCTTATAGTGAAGACAAACTAAGCTCATTCCTATTTGTGACTAAACCGGTTTCCCCTCCTGTAACCTTAACTACAAATAGTTTTGTCCTGCCTGTCCAGGAATGGCAATCACGTCTTTGATTCAAAAAGCTGTTTATAGCCATTCTGCAACCCTACCTTTGTTTCAAAAGGTTACATGACCACCTATGACTACCTTGATATGACTGCCTGTTGTTATACCTACCTTGTTATGACCGCCTTGCAACCAAGTCTTTGCTTCAGGGGGGACTTAACTTGTTATGTTCTGTTCCTGTGACCCTGCCTATTTTGACTGACAGATGCCCTCATGTGCAAGTCCCCTACCCCTGAGCTATAAAAGCCTTGTCTTCCTCACATCCAGTGCTGGCCTCTCCAGCCCTATCTCAGCAGGAGGCAGCCCATGGACACAATTTTTTTTTTAAAGCTTGCTTTAATTACTTGCTGGCTTTAATTAATTTAGCCGCAATGATTTGAGTCGCTGTCTTTCTCCTCTCATGTTTGGGATTGATAGTTTGAGTGCTACTAACACTAAAGACAGATGTTTCCTAGGTCCATCCAT